CTGCTTCATTAGTTTTACCTGGAAAAAACTGGGTAATTTTCATTTGTATTCTTTTCTGCCTTAAGGGCGGGTCTAGAGTTGTTGTTAAAAGTCCTAAAGTTTTATATCCGCTTCTGGTCAGTACTACCATCCTACCACAACAAGTGCCTCTTTGGGCTTAATTTACAATTTGTGGGCCTAATTTACAGAACCTGAATACCTGGTCCTACTGGTTAACTAATCCTCCCCGCTAATAGTTCCTGTAGTTCCACGGAGGCCTCCCTGCTGGTGCAGGTGTTGAGGTTCAGGGTGAGATGGTCCTTTGGCGTGCTTCACGGCCAAACACCCATTTGCTTTTAAGGGCTCCCTCGTTGCCGCAGGTGTTCTGGGCTGGGGAAAAAAAGTCCTTGCCAGCGTGGGCTCCCTTTAGCTGTTGAACGCAGGCAAGGAAGCTTTTAAGGGCTCCCTCATTGCCACAGGTGTTCTGGGCTGGAAAAAACAGTCCTTGCCAGTGTGGGCTCCATTTAGCTGTTGAAGGCAGGCAAGGAAGCTTTTAAGGGCTCCCTCATTGCCACAGGTGTTCTGGGCTGGAAAAAACAGTCCTTGCCAGCGTGGGCTCCCTTTAGCTCTATATGGTACAATATGGTAAGACGTCAGTGGGGGGTAGGTGGGGGTGACACCATGAGTTATTTGATCGGTTGACACCAGTACAAGTGTATCTACTGTGTGAATGTGGACACTAAAGGTCAAAGGTCTGGAAATCAAGCATTATGAGGAATAGCTAAGGGAGATGGGTATGTTTAGCTTGGAGAAGAGAAGACAAAGAGGGGACACAATTACCAACTTTAAATATCTAAAGGGATGTCATGAAGATGAGTTTGTTGTTGTTGATGATGTTGTTGTTGTGTACTTTTAAGTTATTTCTGACTTATGGTGACCTTAAGTTGACTCTATTACAGGGTTTACTTGTCAGAATTTGTTCAGATGGGGTTTGCTCTTCCCTTCATCCAAGGCTGAGAGAATGTGACTTGCCCAAGGTCATTGAGTGAATTTCCATGATTAGAACCCTGATCTCTAGAGTCATGGTCCAGTGCTCAAACCACTACACTACACTGGCTCTCCTCCCCTAGAACCTTATATTCTGCTGCTCCAGAGACCAGAACATGAACCAGTGAGTTCAAATTGTAAGATGTGATTTTACCTAAACATGAAGAACTTTCTGATGATAAAAGTTAATATACAATGGAATAGACTACCTGAGAATGTGATGGTCTTTCTTTCACTCATGTCTTTAAACAGAGATTGGATGACCATCTCTCTGGAGTGTTTTAGCAATGTATTTCTGCATGGCAGGAGGTTGAACTAGTTCTTCCCAAGTTTATGATTCCATGAATGAATGTCCCATTTCCAATGCAAATATAATTAAAATAGGGCATCTGTAGACCAGACCAAAGGGCCAGCTTGGAGACAGAGATAGGGTGGGGCAGCCACACGCTGGCTGCCCCAACCCTACGCTGACGCCATCCTGAAATCACACATTGTACACATGGCATGTGGTGTCAGGACACCCTCCTGGTGCAGTGTTCTGACATGCTGTGTCAGAAAAGGCGAAGAAGAGCTGTGCACCAGATCTTAGGGCAGCCTTTTGCAGCCCCTAAAAGGAGCGGCATTTTGCTGCTCTTTTTGGGGTGACAAAAGGGAGGATCGGGGCCATGGCATGGAGTAGCTGCGGCCCTGATCTACTGCTTCCCAGGGTGGCTAGAGCCGCCCGTCTGCACCCCACCATAGTTTAGCTTTTTATTTATTGTAAATGGAATATTCTGTTACTTTCCCAAATATTTTATGTCTCTGTTTTTAGCTCTTGTTAATTAACCATGTCACAAATTTATTAGCAGTAGAGGTCACTTAGGAACTTTAATCTAGGGCATAATCCACCATGACATTTTTTAGAACAAATCCAACTGAAATGAATTGCAGGTCTGAAAAACTATATTTCTTGAAGTTGTTGTTGTTGTTGTTGTTGTTAAATATTAATATTTCATAAATATAAAGGTCATGAAGCATTGTTAAAAGCACCAGGTAGAAATCAATGTGTGCAAGTGATCTAGTATTTAAAGAAAAAATCATTTAATAAATCATTTACACTTCCAAATTTTGCAATGTGATGTTGTTTCAAGTTACCTTACTGTTTTCTCTAAGGATTTCTTAATTTTATTATCCTGATTTTGTGGTGTGGAGAGTAGGGAAAAACTATAAGCACAAAAAAAGAACCTCTGAAGGTTTCTATTTGTGCAGCATGCCAAAAATGTAATACACATTTATTAATTTTATGAGGTATAATAATCTATAATAGTACAGGAAACCAAAAATTTGCAATGTTGTCATGGATCCAAAGAAACTTCCATTTGTGACAGCAGCTGTTAAGAGCCTATTTTGGCCATAATTGAGTTGCTATGCTTTTCTTTTAATTTCACTACCTGATGATACCTGAGAGCAGTAAGCTTTGCTTCAGAATCCCATTAGGTACCATTATAAGATCTTATTTCCTAGGTTTTAAAAATCTAATTGTCAGTCATTGTGTTGCAGTAAGCATAGCTTTTGTTAGACTTTCTTGGTTGTACACTGTGGTGGGAAAACAAAAGAACTATGCTTCATCATCTTGTCAAGGAGTTTTTTTTTTAACAAATTACCTTTACCCTCAAAAGAAAACACAGAGAGGCTTTTCTGTAGCTTTAGCAATTCTCATAGTTCATATCTTCCTTTCCTAGCATTTCAAGAG